ATGGAGACATGAGTTAATATGAACTCGCATACCCATATCGGTGCTCAATACTACTCCAAAAAATATACTTAGCTCATATGTTGTAAAACAAAACTTCTTTCTTTGGTTTGAGATAATTACTCGAAAACTTTAGCTTAAAAACTCTCTTAGAAATCGGTGTTTCCCTTTCTTGTTCAAATGTGAAAACATTATAAACTCTTGGGGATACTTAGTTCCCTTATAACTTTTGGAGAAATGAACTCAACTCTTTACTCTTTGCTTAACTCAAAACTTAAGTCTTAAAACAAAGTTAAAACGTTTGTGAAAGACTTTTGAAAACTTTATGAACTTCCCTTGACTTGATTCTTAACTTCTAGACTTGACTCTTAACTTTCCTTGAATTGAATTGAATTATGGATTCAAGGTTAATGATCTCATGTTTATGGATGATTTCATGATGTTTAGATGTAACTTAGAGTGTTAGAATCAACTAGAAAACATAGGTACGTTGCTAAGGAACTAGTACGAAAAGTTGGGGAAGAAATGAGAAGAACTGGTGTCTTTGGCGCTGGGCGCCAGCCCTTGAAATTCAGAGAGTGACTTGGGGCGCTCTGGTTGGCGCGGCGCCCCAGAGGTCAAAATTCAAAGGGCCTTTCTTGGGGCTCTGAGAGGGGTGACGCCCCAGGCTCCTGCCCAGGTGAACTCCGACTTTTCACCTTCGTTTTTTATCTCTAAACCCTCTATTTCAACTTAGCTCTTTCCCCAAACACTTAGAATCAACTATACCATCAATATATACAAGATTCAACTCGAAATTACACCCGAAAAAATGAATCAAATCTCAAGAAAACTTCAACAACACAACCCACAAGAATTCAAACGAATTTCATCAAGAACTCAAAGGATTTACTTTCAAATCTAATATACTTTGCTGAATTGAATCATGATTGGCACGTGGGTGAACTAACCCAACACTATGTGATCTCACATACATCGTAGGGATCACCCCTGGACGAAATCCACAAGCGAAATCCTTATGAACGATGATCTTGGCTCTTTTCTCCTCTCTTCTCCTCTTGCGTTCTTTCTCCAAAAACCCTAACTCTATTTTTCAAAAGTGTAAAATGAATCCTATCAGTTTAGACCCTAAAATAATTACCAAAAATGAATTTATTATGTTGGGTATGGAAAAGACCAAACTACCCTTCCAAAATCCTGATTGGACTTTCCTTATTCGAACAACCCAACTTCTAATGGGCATATATCACTCATACAAACTCAGAATCACGCAACCTTGACGGAATTGGAAAGATTATTCCAAGATCTTTCATACAATATCTGGAACCACACCTAACTCATCCTGAGCTAGGAGTTATGGTCGTTTGAAGTTGACCAAAACTCAACTTAACATACTTAACAAATTTTTCCAGATTTCAATTCTTTCCAAAAATGACTTTTCAAATTCTTAACTTCTTCCTAGTTATTTCAATTTGCGAGATATTACAAGTACCTCCTTTATTCATAGTTGAACTTGACACATTTTTATATTTTACAAACAATCAATAATAATGAAATCACACTAGAAGTACATTCCATTTAAATCAATACATCATTTGCAACAATTTGAGTAATAAACATTTAAAATAATATATATTAGTACTAAAATAGAGCTCTTTTTATATATGTTCTTGTTACATCACCCTCAAACACAACTACTCTTACATTGATTTTGAAAATAATAAGCTACACTCAAATCACATTATAACATATTAATGTCTAATCAAATATATGAAAATTTTAATCCAGATCCTTGAAACTTTTGTTCAATGATATGATTGAGTTTATCATTCATCTCGACAGTAAAATAATTCTTCCAATCTCCAACTTTCCCTCGGCGAAAGAAATTTTTATTTGCCACTCCAGCTGACATTTTCCCATGTGTATTCACCTCCAAATTCCTCAAATTTTCAAAGCTACACATTCTTAATATTTCATCCACAACTCCACAATTTTCTTCCTCTATGGAAAATGGACATTCCAAGAATTCAGCCAAGCGTTTAAGCTGAATTTTTGGTTGCTTTTTAATTTCTTCATACATCAAGAAAAATACTTTATCAGGATTTTCTATACTTTCTTTCCAATAATCCAACACCTGATTCCAAAATGGTCCATAAAGACTCACACCCTTACAAAAATGATCAAACATTTCTTCAATGGAATTGATATCTTTATGATTATCAAGTCTTAAATTGTTTGCAAAATTCCACATAGAAATAAAAGTGTCTCTTGGATTCCTACATAAGTAAACAAGTTTGGTTCTTGAATTCTTAACTGATTTTGGCAATGAAGCAAAGGGCACATGAGTTGCCAAGAGTCTAGGTGAAGTGAACGATGAAAAATCAGGGACTTGACCATCAGCATATAGATCAAGTTCCAAGAACAAAACGAGATCATGAGGGTTTTTTAAAAGTAAGGGGTGATCTTTTTCAAAAATAGGATGGTTATTTCGATTCACTAATGCAAATAAAAGTGATTTTAACCAAACAGTTCCTGATTTTGGAGATGTCACGAGAATGATATCACTATCTTGAGCTTGAAATTGTTGTTGACATGCAATCACACCTTGAATTGCTCTTGATGATGACCAAAAACCTTGATAATTGTAGATAGTTGATTCCATCCATCCTTTTTCTTTAGGTAGGGTAGAGAGAAATTTTTTACACTCTTCACTTTGGTCCTCTTGTAAATATTTGGGAGGAGAATTTTGAGATGTTGTCATTGGTTTGAATTGAGTGTTTTCTTCAAGTTTGAGATATATATAACATATATACACACAGATACACTCATTATTTACGTGAATATTTTAGTCATACACTACATGTGAGCTCTCTACTTCACGCTTTTCATGTCTTTCTATTAACAACTTTTAATTCACTTTTCTTATTATTCTTTATCAAGACTCAAGAGTGGTGTTATTAACGTGAGTGTCTTACAATAATTTGTGAGCCACATCACACTTCATGCTATGTTTTTGTGAGTGCAAAAAGAATTTCTCTTTAAAGAGGTGATTCGTTATCCTATGCAAATTTATAATTTGTTTTAGACTTTTTAAATTATATATATTTTTAAATTCGATATTCATTCAGACAATGTCACGTTATTAATGGAAACAAAAAGAGTAATATAATAGTGATAAGTAGCTGGTGATGTGAAAATGAAAATTGAAGAACCTTAGAAACAAGGCATTGCATCTCTTGTTATCCATTATTAAAGAAAAGGAAAGAAAGAATTTAGAGATGAGTGTGAAGATAATACAATAATACATTATTATTTATAAACCCTCGGTTCAAGTAAAACATATAAAATTAGGTATGAAAAGAAAATACATGAGTAGTGAAGAAGTTATGTTGAAACAATGGAGAAAAGGATAATATCAACAAAAATTAGTACGATAATCGAAGCAAAAGAAACAACATGTAATAATAAAATCAAAGAATAATATAGCATGAGAGTAATAATAATAATACTTTTAAAGAAAACTGGATCATATTCTCGGTAAGCTTATCCTTGACTTCCATATCCTCTTATCTATGATCATCTATGCGATAAACTTCAAGTCTGTCGTGTCTTGTCTAATCACATTTCTACAATATTTTTTTGACCTACCTTTACCTCTTTTTAGACCCACCATAGTCAAACTCTCACATCTCCTCACTAGGGCACATGTGCATCTCATCTTCACATGTTCGAACCATCTCAATCTCGATTCCCTCATCTTATTCACCACGGGGTCATTCCACTCCGTCCCGAATATCTTCATTCCTAGTTTTATCTCTCCAACAAGTATACTCATACATCCATCTCAACATCCTTATTTCCGCTACTTTCATCTTATGAATGTGTGAGTTCTTGATCGGCCAACAATCTACCCATAACAATCACTTTATAAGACTTACCTTTAAATCTTGGTGGCACATTTTTACTACACAAAAAAATCGGATGTGATCCTCCATTTAATCCACCTCGCTCCAATACCATGTATAACATCATCACCAGTCTTCACATTTTCTTTGATTATTGACCAAAATACTTGAAATTTTCTCTTTTTATAAGAATCATGAGTAGTATATTAATAATCACCTCCACATCTGCCTTGTGAGTTATGTCACTGAACTTATACTCTAAGTACTTTGCTTTTGTCCTGCTCAACATGAATTGTTGAGCCCTAGGATCTATCTTTAAACCTCCAGTCTATCATTAATCTTTTCTTATGTATCTTCGATCAATACTTCATCAGTGGCGGAGCCACATGTAGTTGAGGGGTGTCAACCGACACCCCTTCGTCGGAAAATTACACTGTGTAGCTAGAGTTAAGTTATTTTTTATGTGTATATATTACATATTGACACTCCTTGACTTCTACGCGATTTTAGTTTTTTATATTTTGACACCCTTTAGTCGAAGTTCTGGCTCCGCCACTGTACTTCATCATCTACAAATAGTAGACCATGACAACTCCCTTTAGATATTTCGAGCGTGAAGATGATGATTTCCATTATTTTATTATTATCATCACAATATATTACTATGGTAACCATCGTCACACATAGAAGCTCCTAAAATGAGTTTGTTGCTCGAATAGTCAGTCAATTATTAAAATTATATAATAAAGTCAAACATTGTTTGGGTAAAAACTCACTCTTCTATAGGTATTTCACAAGAAAAATCATTCTGATCAATTTTGTAAATTTTGAGCATTCAATTCTTGATTTGACATTTGTAGCAATAATTGTTGGACTTAAAATCAAAATAAATAAATAAAAACCAACTTCATTTTCAGTACTATAGTAGGAAGGATTTGGTGTGAAATAGTTATAAAAAAATTACTTGTCCGTGACACAATAAAAATAATATTCAACAGGTGAACTTTTAAAATAGATTAATCACAACACAACTATTTCAAAATTGACTTTCAAAATAAATAATTTCATTCAATTGTCATACAGCATATCAATGCCTAATCAAATATACAAAAAATTTAATCCAGATCCATGAAACTTTTGTTTAATTATATGATTGAGTTTCTCACTCATCTCTAAAGTAAAATAATGCTTCCAATCACCAACTTCCCCTCTACGAAAGAGCATTTTAGTTTCCTCTCCGGTTGACAATTTTCCATTTATATTCACATCCAAATTGCTCAAATTGTCAAAGCTACACATTCTTAATATTTCATCATTCACTCCACAATTTTCTTCCTCTATAGAAAATGGAAATTCCAAGAATTCAGCTAAACGTTTAAGCAGAATTGTCGGTTTCTCTTTAATTTCTTCATACATCAAGAAAATTACTTTCTTAGGCTTTTCTATGCTTTTCCCCCAATAATCCAACACATGATTCCAAAACGGACCATAAAGGCTCACACCTTTGCAAAAATGATCAAACATTTCTTCAATGGAATTGGTATCTATGTAGTCAAGTCTTAAATTATTTGTGAAATGCCACATTGAAATAAAAGTGTCCCTCGGATTCCTACATAAGTAAACAAGTTTGGTTCTTGAATCTTGGACTGATTTTGGCAATGAATCATAAGGCAAATGAGTTGACATGATTCTAGGTGGAGTGAAGGATGAAAAATCAGGGACTTGACCATCAACATAGAGTTTAAGTTCCAAGAATGGAACAAGATCATGAGGGTTCTTGACAAGTAACGGGTGATTTTGTTCAAAAATAGGATATTTTTTTCGATTCACTAGAGAAAATAAAAGTGCTTTTAACCAAGTGGTTCCTGATTTTGGAGTCGTAACAAGAATGATATCACTATTTTGAGCTTAAAATTGTTGCTGACATGCAATCACACCTTGAATTAATCTTGGTGATGTCCAAAAGCCTTGATAGTTATATATATACGATCCTATCCATCCTTTTTCTTTTGGTAGGGTAGAGAGCAATTTCTTACAATCTTCACTTACACCATCCTCTTGTAAATATTTGGGAGGAGTTGGTGAAGAGGTTTGAGATGTTATCATGGTTTTGAGGATTGTGTGTTTCCTTTTTGTTTGTATAATGAAGGCTTACTCATGAGGTATATATATAGAGGGGACTTACATTGCATACAGTAAAAGTTTTTTTTTTTTTTTTTTTTTTAATAATATCAATGAATTTTAATCAATAATAATAGGTTAATTAATCTAAATTAAGACGGAGAGAGTAATATATTTTTATACTCACATATTAACTTTTTAAAAGAGGTTAGGTCATATGTCTAATCTGTTTATATATGTATAAAAATTATACATATATATGTTTAATTATAATTTTGACTTTTTTAAAAGAGGTTAGGACTTAGGTCGTCATATGTATAATCTCTAAATAAGAAAATATTACTCACCAATATACACAAAATGTTTATATATATATAATTACAATTTTTTTTTATATATATATATTTTCATATTGCCGCTTTGATCTCTCTTTCTTTCCATGTATAGTGTGTATAAATTCAACTATGAGTTGGTGCCATGGGTTAATTAGTTAATCGGACTTTTCAAAAAATTTGTGATACTTAAATCAAATTCTTCAAAATACACTATTTTAAAAGAATTTGACATTTTTAAAAAAAGTGTTAGGTGATTGTAGTCCCTTTAATTTAATGATATGATTTGATGTGTGTTAGGTGTAATTGGATTAATGTGTGTGTAAGTGTTTGATTAATGTGTGTTAGGTGTTGGATTAATATTGCTTCACTCATGTTGGATTCAGATGCAAAATTTTCACTAAGGAGTTTAATCAAAATAAGAAATGTAATAAACACACGTAAAAATAAAAAAATATTCAAAAGCTACTAAATATATAACATAAAAAATAATATTAATCATATATAAATAATGTATATTTTGATTGAATTAGTTGGAAAATAAAAAATAGTAATATTTTAATATGAAAAAATAGGAAATGAAAATTTGTTTTCCACTATTTTGATGATAATTAATTTTCTACCATATGTTTTACCAATAAGCTGATTCAGTAAAAAATAAATGAAAAAATATGTTCTATGACATAAATTTTCCTCTCATTCGCAACGAGAAAAATCTTTATTTTAAACCGTGAGTTGAAAGTAAGTACTATATTAATTAACTTATAATAATAATAACCACAAAACATCTAACATCATTTAAATCAATATGTTACAGGAAATTTGGAATATCCCATAATCATTAATGATTATTTTTTTCTCCCAACAGCAGCTAGTAAATAAGCATGATATATAAATATATATTCTAATTTCTAAGCTATCAAACTCGATATATACGTGATTTAAGAAAGATTAATTTCCGCCCACATTATCATATAAAAACCTTACAACTTGACGTTGGCTTGACATTTTTGTGGTTATAAGTGTCTTGTCAATGATTAAAATAAAATAACGTTGAGTGATGTATCTAAAAGTGAGACGCAATGTATTGATGGGATGATTGTTGGAAAACTATATGCACAGCGGAAGCATACTGGAATCTTTCTGCTTACATGAATGATAGATAACCAATATTGTTTATGCTAGACCACATAATCATGCTAGAACACATAAACATACTGAAATTTAATTCGATAAATACCTCTTCAAGCATGAACAGATACCTTCAAGCGAATCCCCAAGTTAGACAGTCCTTCAAGTGAATCTACAAGATAGCCATGGTCTTCTACAGTGATCCCAAGTTCACATCTGAACTCTCTCAATACTTGGGTGGGCAAGTATCGAATAGAAAACTAATCAATCTAGGGCAAGAAGAATCCCTAATTATAGAGATTTCTTCATAGTCCAAAGAGGAGAACTAAACACACGTTATTTTTCTTCAACCGAAAAAATACACGCTAGTTTTCCTTTTATAAGAAAACTAACGCCTCTCCCCTTTTCCCTTTAGAATTAGGATTCTGAGTTCTAGTTAAATATGGGCACTGGAGGGACCACAGAATTAACTACTGAGGCTTCCTATTATGGAAATAATTCCAAATAATTAATTTGAATTATTCTTACCATAATAAATTACAAATCATTCCACTAGAAATTCGTAATTGCACTCCTCTATTTATATTTCGTAATTCCCCATTAAACACTTATGTAATTCCCCATGTTAAGATTTCAGGTACTAATCAATAAATTAAATTACTAACGAATTTAACTTAATGATTAATTTTCTTTAGAGCACTACTTAACTTATTTCATGTGTCGGATTCATAAATCCACTTGCAAGGTTTGACACGATGAAAACTTATAAGTTTCTCAAAAAGGCATATCAATCAATCTCTATAACGAGACATGGATTCCATCAACTAACTTATTATTTCACCAATATATATTATTATCATCCAACTTACCAGGCATATTGACCCATCTCAGAATCTCACCTTTTAATAAATCAAAACGATAATTAATATATACAGATCATAATAGTTATATCAGGATTAAGAATATAAGTACATTTAATAGTTTAGAGAATATGTTTTGTCAGTCAGTCTAAAACAACTATCTCTACTCGGTCCCGTTCAATACATACAAAATGCACTAGCACAAGAAGTTGGAACTATACCGTTCCCATAATCAAGATAAATTACCTATAATCTTGTGCTACAATCGTACCGATGGCATGTCCAATTTCCATCCTAGATTGTGAACAAAAAACTTTATACTTATAAGAACTGATGATTTAATCCTCTGTGTATAAGCTAAAACTCTACACACTAAATCATCTACTATATAAGTAAATAGACACCATAAACGAATATATGATCTATTAAAATTGAGCAAATATTTATTCTATAATAAATATTATTTCTTAACACATGGTTAATAGTATATATCCTAACAGTTGAGCAATGTATTCAAAACTGGGATGCAACGTATCGAGATGTTTTGGTATGTATGCGGATTCCATCAAATTTAAGGGATTTTAATAATTTGAAAAAAATAAAAATATGATATAATTAACTCTTAATACTATAAAATTTGTGAAAGACAAAATATATAAAATAAATAAAACCCTCTATATTTTTGCTTTTAAAAAGAAAATTTATATATAGTACCTTATTGTGATGCAGGGAAAAGTATAAAAATAACCCCTTGAGTATTAGAAAGGTCACAAGAAAATAGCCAAAGAGAAAATGAGTGGGGTATATCCAAACAAATAGATGAACTATGTACAATATATCCTAATTCAATTCTAAAAACTAGCGTTTACGACATAAAAATCGTCGAAAATTATCAAAGCTCATTTGTTTTCATGTGTGTGTAACATGCGTGAAATTAGCATAACATTAGGTAAATCAAAGATTATTTAGATATTCTGGAGGCAATAATTTGTTTTCAATTGACGTGAAACACTTAATTAACGCCCTACTAGCTCTTTAGAGAATTTCTTGAATCAAACATTTGAAGTATGAACAATATAACATAATAGGAGTTAAGCATTTGATAAAGTAATTAACAATTGGAGTATTAGGATAAGGCAAACTCAGATACGATGATAAGGAAAATTGATTAGCTTGAATCAAATTTAATTCAATTTCAAAAGATAACTCATGAAGTAAGAATTGTTCAAAATTAATATGTAAAGAGATAATATATACTTAATTTCCTTAATACTAACGTGGGACACTTGACAAGATAAAAAAAAAAAAGATTCTCGCTTGAGAAAATAACAATGTATACATAGTACGTAACTATGAATAATTGAGTGGAAAGCTACAAAATTTGTAGTAACATTCCAAGATTTGGTTTTGTGGTCATGGATGATTTGGGAGCTAGTTTTCATATATTAAGCTTGTTCTTCTTTTTTTTTCTTGTTATTTTATGCTTGGGTTTTTTGGGAATTAAATATTGTCGAATGCGATTATTCAAATCAAATCTTTGTTAAAGTGGGTGGTTTTCCACCCACTTTAACAAATAATGGATGGGACTATCTTGAACTTTCGTGTAGCCTTGTCCTCATAGAAAGCTCCCCATTTCATTTTGTTGGTTTAGCATTTTAATATTACTATTTTCATATATTAATTTGCTTTACTTTGAATTAAAAGAGTGTTAGTGGGCATTCTTACATTGCATCCGTTGGTGAGGCATATATGACATTACTCACCTATCAATGCACATAGGCATTATTGCCTATTATTTTTTGGTTACAAAAACGTTCCACTGAACGTTGGGTCAACACCTTGGGCAGTTTTGCATTTGCACGTTGGTGCATTTGTTGCCAAGACAATTACTTCTCCAAATTATTCCTCCATTACACCTTGTAACCTATGTAACTCCTAAGACCATTATCTTCACTATTTACTACACTATTATCTTCCTATTCATTGCTAGGAAGACTTCTTCTAGTATAAATAGTGGTGGTCTTCATTTGGTTTGGGACACACAACACATAAGAAAAATATAGAGTGAAAGAGTTAGTCAAAAAAGAGAGTTCTTATTAGTTGAAGGGAGGTGTTCTTTTTTATGGAGCTTTGGACTCAACTCTTGTCCAGAGTTGTTGAGTTATACTTTGTGAAGGCTGTTGTATCCTGGAGGGGACAAGTCAAAAGGACTACTGTTGGACCGGTGAAAACATTTGCTGCAGGCTGTTGTATCCTGGAGGGGACAAGTCAAAAAACTACTGTTGGACCGGTGAAAACATTTGCTGCAGTGGGCTTGAATCTTCTTAAAGAGAGCGAGATATTCGCGCCTCAGCCTGAAGAGATTTATTTTCTTCATATTTATTTTCAATTGTAATATTGTATTTTTGTTATCTTGTAAGTTTTCACTGACACATTTTACTAGTCCATATTAACTTACATGAGAAATATTTACAAATAAGCTTTGAAAATTTAATTTAATCTGAGTAGCATTGAAAGAAAATGAGTGATAAATTTATCCCAATTTGCTAAAATGAACAAATAAAATAAGTATTCAAACAATATTTTATATAACAGAAATGTTAATGTTGAATAAATGTTCTTTAATACTAATATTATTTTCCATAGAGTCATAGTGGGGACCGGGGGGCCATGTTATAACTTTAGCCTTGATCAGCATAAATAGATGTCTAACAAATTGCTTGGACTTTTTTCTAAATTTGTTTCGAAAAGTCAATTACACATTTAAATTATTGTGATGATCTATTACACATTTAATATTATTCAAAGTGATATTAATACCCCCTTAGAAGATGACATGAAACAGAAAATGTCTTCACCTTCCTTAAAGTGCATGAGAAGAAGATGACCTATATTACACATCTAATATTATTCACTTTTCATTGCATACATTTTTCAAAATCTCATGAAAGAAAATAATTTTCTATCTTTGTCTTCTTTATACTCGTCGGGACACCATCCACAACCATCACAATGTTATTTTTGTCTCAAGCCACCAAATAACATATTTGATTTTACACACAAAGAATACTAATGAAATGCTTGATTTTCATCATAATTATCAAAATTTCAAAAGAACTTTTACATATTTGAAAGTTTTTATTTGTTTCGCCGGCAACAATGGTGTTGCCCACCGCCTATCGCCGGAGCCAAAATCACTAAACTTCATAATCATTTTATTGTCTCATGTTCTCTCCTCAAATTTCTTGTTTTCCCTTCAATTTATGAATAATGAAGAAGAAAGAAGAAATTGATTTTAAGAAGAAAGAAATGTAAGGGGGAAGGAGGAAGAAAGCCTAGGTTTCTACTTTTTGCAAAAATCAAAGAAAATATTAATGAAAAATGGTTTTAAAAAATTAAAATAATCTTATTTACGTGTCAAAACGTGTGCATAGCACATTTTCACACAAAAATTGATATTGTTTTCGAAAGAGGATATTAATTTTACTTTAAACAAAATTGAGTGTGTAATACGTCGTCATGATAGTTTAATGGTAGAGAATGACACTATACACTAGTCGTTTTATTTTCTTGTGATTGCTTCGCTGGATATGAAACGCATTGCAAGTTGTGACAACTATACACTAATGTGTGTATATATATTGGCATTCATCTAGAGTAAATCTTTCATCATACAAACATAAAAAAAAAAAAAACACTCCATTATTTCACCACAACCGTAACTATGTCAATATCTCAAACTATTTCACCACAAATTCCTCCCAAGTTTTTACTTGAGGATGGACTTAGTGATGAGTGTAAGACATTGCTCTCAACTCTACGTAAACAAAGATCATGGCTTGCATCACATGATTTCTACAATTACCAAGGTTTTTGGCTAGATCCAAGACTACTAGGAGGTGTGCTTGCATGTCAACAACAATTTCATGCTCAACAGAGTGATATCATCCTCGTAACAACTCCTAAATCAGGAACGACTTGGGTAAAATCACTTTTATTTTTTCTAATGAATCGAAAGAAATATCCTATTTTTGAACAAGATCACCCTTTACTTGTTAAGAACCCTCATGATCTTGTTCCATTCTTGGAACTCAAACTCTATGTTGATGGTCAACTCCCTAATTTTTCATCTTTTACTTCACCTAGACTCTTGGCAACTCATTTGTCCTTTGGTTCATTGCCAAAATCTATCCATGAATCAAGAACCAAACTTGTTTACTTATGTAGGAATCCTAGGGACACTTTTATTTCTATGTGGCATTTTACAAACAATTTAAAACTTGATCACACTAACATCAAGTCCATTGAAGAATGTTTTGATCTTTTTTGCAAGGGGGTGAGCCCTTATGGTCCGTTTTGGAATCACGTGTTGGACTATTGGAAAGAAAGCATAGAAAAGCCTAACAAAGTACTTTTCTTGATGTATGAAGAAATTAAAGCGCAACCCAAACTTCAACTTAAACGCTTGGCTGAATTTTTGGAATGTCAATTTTTCTTGGAGGAAGAAAAATGTGGAGTAGTTGATGAAATATTAAGAATGTGTAGCTTTGATAATTTAAGTAATTTGGAGGTGAATAGAAATGGAAAATTGTCGTCTGGAGAGGAAAATAAAGTCTTTTTTCGTAGAGGGGAAGTTGGAGATTGGAAAAATTACTTCACTAAAGAGATGAGTGAGAAACTCGATCATATTATTAAACAGAAGTTTCAAGGATCTGGATTAAGTTTTTTGTACCTTTGATTAGGCATCAATATGCTATATGCCAATAAAATTAATGCAATTATTTGATATTAATTTTGGGTGTAATTTTTGTGTTGCGGAAAGTTAATTGAGGGTTAACTAGCACATGATTACACGCAAAGTAAATAGTGAAAAAAATACAATTAAAATTTAACAAAGTTCGACTAAGCAGAATTCAAGACTAATTAACTTATAACAATGACCACAAAACATCTACATCATCATTTAAATCAATTTGACAGTAAATTTGGAATATATATATATATATATATATATATATCTAAGCTATGACAGATGTCTCCACAGCAACACCAGAGTAGGTAACTTCAGCCACCTTCTCAACTTCCCAAAGTTGTGGTAATATTTCCTTTATGTTGTGGATACTTTCTAGTGCATAATCTGCACCTACAACTTTTTGGGACTTCCCAACCTGAAAATTATAACAATAATATAGCATATGAGACTCGATACGTAGTTTAAGAAAGATTAATTTTTGTCCACATATCATATAAAAACCTTACAACTTGATGCTAGCATGACTTTTTGTGGTTATAAGAGTGTCTTGTGTCAGTGGTAAAAAAAATTAAAAATGCAAAGTTAAAAGGATTTCTAGATATATAAATATATGTGTTGTTATTTATGGAACATACTAAAGAAGAAAAAATATCGTATAAAATGAAACAGAGGAAGTAGAAGTACTTACCAGAACTGTATCAAGACCTACACGCTTGCCAGCTTGAACGTTACGCACACTATCTTCAAAGAAAAGCTGGAAAATAGAATTTTTTTCAAATGAGTATATATTAATAGCCTATTCAGGCAAGATTTTGAAAAGTCAAAAGTGTATATATTTTTTTTCCTTCAAAAAGTGAGGTGTTTGACCAAACTATTGTGAAAAAATAAGTGTCTCTAGAGAGTATTCAGAAACTATTTTTCAGAAGCTAAAAAAAAAAACTCAAGTTTTTTCCCAATAGTACATCTATGGAAAACACTTTTGAGAAAAAATATCCTTAGAAACACTTTTTGTTGCTTAATAGTGCTTTTCAAATTTTATTGGTCAAACAGAAACATCGTCTCACTTTGACAACAAAATATTTTTCAAAATAAGCTGATTTTAGAAATTCTTACTGTTGTGTGTGGATTAATGATGTTGGCAAGGTCCAATGCCCTTTCAATGGCAACTTGTGAAGGTTTGCAAAGAATTGGTGTCTTTGGCAACACTGAGCCAGCCTTAGGTTGAGAAAAATGTCCAATTATGTCAAAGATCTCATGAGAGCCATTATTTGTAGTAGCATTGCTCTTGTCAATTGGATTAAGAGTCTCAAAGCATATTATCCCTTCAAAACAATCTTCCAATCCAAGTTTATTTAGAACTTTGAGAGCATGAACCTCATCAGCATTAGTAAAGATCTGTTACACAAAAAGAAAAAGTCAAAAACACACCTGAAGTATCACGTTTTTGTTAGTTTACTATCTGAACTGTCAAATGTTTGCATTTTCTATCTGAACTATCACCATTCACTAATTATTAATCAAAATGCACCTTCAAGCTAACTAGAAGCTAAAAAACGCGTGACAATCAAGTTAATTTGCCCATAAAATTTCGTTCACATGACAATTGAATTTATTAATTTTGAGGTGTATTTTGATAAAAAAGTTAATGCTAGTTCAGATAGAAAATGCAAATACGAGATAGTTCAAATAAAAAATTCACAAAAACGTAATATTTACACTTATGATTTGTGTTTATGGACTTACAACTTTGCGGATTGGTAGGCTAAGCAGAAGACTTCTTAGAATAGGGTCAGACCTCAATTTGTCATAAGGCAATCCACCATGGACAAAACTGCAAATTAAATGTCAAATGAATGTCGAGTCTAACTCAAAGAAACAAGAATTACCAAACTATATAAGAAGTTTCAAGATTTCATCCCCGTCTAATGTGGGACATTTCTTTCAACACCTCCATGCTTAGAAACTTTCTGGACTGAAGCGTATACAATCATGGATGAGGAGTATATTCACAACTTCTACACAGTCCAGAGGCCCCCACATCGTATACCATGTTAAATGAATGTGGAATCTAACTCGTGCCTTAAATAATTGCTCAAAAAGAGAAGAATTATCCAAGTCTTAAAAATTTCGTTCCGACCGATGTGGGACATTTCATTCAACATTAAATTCAATAACATAATGCAATGAGAGTTTAAAAATCAATTGAGTCCAAATACTCACCTATGATACTCATCATAGTCAAAATTGTAGCCAATTGCCTACCAAAAATAAACAAGTTGTCTCATTAAGTTATTAAAATTTGTCAAAATTAAACTTTTTACTATAATCATAATTAATGCTAAAGTAAGAATACCCTTAGGCCTGCCATTGTGGTTCCATAATTCTTGTACAATAAATTACCCAACTCAACAATTTTGCTTTGTTCTATTCCAAGCTTTTCAACCATATAATCTGTAGATGCACATTAATATCTAAATTAGAGACATAATTATATACTAATCATTATTTTAAAACTTTGAAGTACATTTCAAGTATTTATACCTTCAATGTTCTTGGTGACATCAACAGCCAGACCAATACTAAGGGGGTAAAGAGTGTCATCTAGATCTGTAAATTCCAAAATAAAAATAAGATGAAATAAAATGAAGAATCGGATTTGATATCGACTTCCATTTGGTCATAAATTTTGAAATTGAAACTTGAAAATTTGAATTTCTGAAATATGAAATTGTGTTCGGACATGCATTTTACTAAGGAAAAATATTTGAATTTTCGTGTGTGGAAGTTCCCAGAACTGGTCTAAACCAACTTTTGGGAGTTTGAAAAATATTTGAAGCTCAGATTTTCAAAATCTAATTAAGTTTCATGATCAAATAAATATTTGTAGATAAACTTTCAAAATCTGTGATCAAACGCTAATTAAATTTTAAAAAGATAACGTACGTACCAAAAAGAAGACATTCATATTTTGACCTCTGAGCATGCCCATATTCCATTTTGGCCTAGAAAAAGGAAATAAAATACATAAGAATATTTAAACGAAAATATCTTATTCATAAACTCTACCGTTCTTAAATCTTACTTTTAAGTTCTCTCTATTACTTTAAGTTCCCTCAATCTTATTAGAAAACCTATTACAATATGAACTAGGATAGACAAATTCTAACTAGACATGGATTGAAAAAAATACTAAATAACAAATCTTATAGTAAAAATTTAAGATTTCTTCTCCATCTTTAAATTATTATTCCAACAACATTTAACAAAGATAATCTAAATCCAGACAAGTCAATTTGAAAATTCAGTCTAAGTCTCAATCTACACTTCTTCATAGATGGCTTCCCAATTATTGAGTTTCACACATCAACAACTTGAATAATATATGACAATAGGGGTACTCCGACCCCAATTAAATAAATTCACTCACTCAGCTTTTAAATTTACTCAACCCTAACTCTTATCAGACTTTTTTTTTTATACTATTTAAATTTATTTTTGGTTAAAACCCTCTGAAAGTCGATTTCACGAAAATAACTTTTAATAAAATCAAACCCATAGTAGATTTTTTTGGCATAAGTAATCAAGAAAATGCAAACAAAGGTCGATTTCACAAAAATAATATTAAAAATACTTTTTAACAAAATTGACCTCCGGAGGTCGATTTTTTTAGCGCCAACAACCGCAGAAATGCAGATCGATCTCTGGAGATCGATTGTTTGTTTTTAAAAAACAATAGCAAATACCAACCTTTAGAAGTTAATTTTAATTTATTTTTTAATAAATGTCACGTGAATTTATATAATTTTTTTTGAAACATTCAACGTTGATTGTAGTCAAAAGACATAAGTGAGCTAAAATGTAATAGTCTAGAGACATGTTTGATCCTTTTCCGTAGAGAAAATGAAAAAAAAAAAAGATATAAAAACAAGTTAATCGTCAGCCAAAACTTATTTAATTGATCAAAAAATTAACACAACACACATAAAAAAGGATCAAAATAAATCCAAAAAACATACCAAGAAATCAAAATGGGGAAAAAATGAAGATACACAAGACTTTTCTTTGTAGTGAAAAGTGTTTTTGCAAGATTAGTAGCCATTCGTCTTTGGATTTATATAGGCAAAAAGCGTTACATCTTTACCCATTGGGATCCTCATAAATCCAAAGAGTTATCCTCTTCTTCTTTTTTTGGCAAAGAAGATTAATTATTTGTCCTCTCTTTTTGTTCTTCACCCCTTAAATAATAATATGGCATAATACATAAATGTATTTTTTAATTTGGTCTCAACTAGCATTTATATACCCTTTAATTTTGATGAGTACAAGTAGACATTCACAAAACAACATCATACGTATAATTCGGAGCTATAATTTTTAATAAGAGAGTTCAAAATCTGAAGACTTAAACACACGAATTAATCGAAGGGAGTTCGACATCTACTATATATACATAAAAACATAGTTTTAACCATGTATAAATAGTAATATTTTTTGTCGAAGGGATCCGGATGAACCCCAAACAGTATGTTGGATCCACCCTGCGTATAATCCCACAAGAAAGATCTGAAAGAGTAGTTATACGCAAATCTTTCATTTTTTAAGAATAGTTAAATGCATATTTAAAGAGTACTTTTTCCTCTTCTTCTTTTTTGGCAAAGAGAATTAATTGTTTGTCCTCTCTTTTTGTTCTTCACCCCTAAATACTAATAACGGCATATACATAAAAGTATTTTTTAATTTGGTCTTAATTAGCATTTATATCCTTTAATTTTTTATGTGCATAAATAGACATACAAAACAACAACATATTCAATATAATTTTACAAACGAGGTCTAAGAAAATATTGTGCATGCAAATCTACTTTCAATTTTTTTTGTGAAAAAGAAGTTAAATGCTTGTTTAGTATAATCTCCCTTCTCTCCCTAATAGTATAGAACTATGATACATTACTCTTAAATACACAAACAAACAAATACACACACACACACACACACACACATATATATATATATATATATATTTGGTTATTAAAATGTAGCAGGATCTAAATGGTTGCACCAACCCCACATGCATGATTTTAGCATATTTGGAAAATATAATTTCAACCCAAAGAATAAAGTTATGCATAAGTTAACAATATCTTAATAATATGATCCTCAGCAATTGCAACATTTTAATAATATATTTTCTTTTATTTACATCTAATAATATTATATTGTATAATTTTTATTCTTTTTCTTGTTTCTTTTATATAATAAAGTTTAAGAAAGATTTCATCGACAAGGAGTTGGTGTGGTGTAGTGGTTATCACGTCAGTCTTACACACTGAAGGTCCCCAGTTCGATCCTGGGCATCAACATTAATTTTTTGTCCCGACGGAAATGAATGTTTCCGCTATATTATTTTATATTTATTTATTTTGATTTCCCATCGGTATTCGATATTCATATTGAAGCTCGACTGAATTCACATTCATGCATTGTAGGGGTCATTTTCTGGATTGCGTTAACAAGACTTTTCTCATTTCCATATGCTTAAATAATAATGTATTTCGGTCTCGTCTTTTACTTACATGGCATTCTCGTAGAAATGCATAGTATAAAAATGTGGGCCCATTCAACTTTTCAATACATAAAGAACAAAATTAGAAGGCATAGTTATGTATTATGCCAAAGTTAATGTATTATGCGGCTAATCAAGACATCATTAACAGGCTTCAAGTTGCAACAAATTTAGGAGGCCCATAAGAATTCCCCTTCCATGTACAATTCAAAGCCCAATTTATTGGGCCCATGATAATTAAAAAAAGTGAAAATTGTACATAATGACAAACTATTAATTCAAATTAAATGGTATAATCACACTTTGATTTAATTGTGTCTTGTAGCAAACTGTTTGCCAGCGCCTCTCTCCCTCAAACTCTCGCTCGCCACTCTCCTCTCTCGCTCACTCCCTTTGTGCTTGCCTCTCTCACTTTATACAACAGAATTGTATAAATTGCGTTTATGTTTGTATAAAGCGAGAGAAAATTGTATATACACATGCAAATACATATATATTCGTCCTATACACTTATAATTATACAATAAAAATATTCCCCTGCCCAGTTCTCTTTTGCCTTTCTCTCTTTCTCGTTTTATACAACATAATTATATAAATTGCGTTTCTGTTTGTATAAAGCGCGAGAAAATTGTATATACACATGCGAATACATATATATTCGTCCTATACACTTATAATTCTACAATAAAAATATTCCCCTACACAGTTTTATGTTTGTATAATGTATAATTTATGTTTGTATAAAGCGAAAGAGAGAGTGATTTTTGATATACAAATATTTTTGTCAACGATTTATACAAACGAGAGGCTAACAACAATTTATACAAATGGCTTGCCAGCGAAATTATACAAATCTGAAGAAGAGCCAACGAATTATACAATTGCTTCTTTTTGTATATATGTATAGCGAAATAGACAACTTTCAATTGTATATGTATAGCGAATTATACATATATATGTTTGCTATGGAACGCAATTATGCAAACTTTGCTATAGCATACAAATATGATTTTTTTGTTTGCTATATGTGAAAGTTGCTCTTAAAAAAAAAGGACAAATTACTTAACTAAACTCCTTTACTTACCTTAATATTCATTTATCCCTATTTATTTCAAAAATTTCAAAAATCCCTTATTTACCTATGTATCCCGTGCACAACGCTATGTATCCCGTTATGTGGAATGTATCAAATGATATGTATCCCGTGCACAACACTATGTATCCCGCTATGTGGAATGTATCAAACCTAATGTATCCTGTGCGTAACGCTATATATCCCGCTATATGGAGTGTATCAAACCTAATGTATCCCGTGCACAACACTATGTATCCCGTAAACATCATTTTTAAGGAATTTTTGGTAAATAGAAAACTAGAAGGGATAGGATGTTAGTACTTATAATATGTGGTTCCTATAATTTATACAAAAAACAACTATGAAAATAAAATATCTTTGGGAAAATTGTATGAAATAACAAACTATTAATTCAAATTAAATGTTATAGCCATAGTTTATTTTATTTGTAATCCGCAGCAAACATTTCATTTTTTTGCCATCTGATTCGGTATACAAGTAGTCATTTTATATATTTCGGTATAAAATGCGTTTGTGTTTGTGTTTGTATAAAGCGAGAGAAAAGTGTATATACAAATACAAATACATATATTTTCGTCATTTACACTTATAATTATACAAATACAGATTTTATTATACAAATTATAATGTATAAATGAATTTATACAAAACTAGAAATTTGTATAAAATTGAATGTATATAGCGAATTATACAAATCAAAAGCTCCATAGCAAACATAAAATTTGCTATGGAGTGCAATTATGCAAACTATAGCTATAACATACAAATATGATTTTTATGTTTGCTATATGTGAAAGTTACTTAATATTTTTTGGGTTGAAAAATTCAATTATGAGAATAAATCTTTTGTTTCTTTTCTTTTAATCTCATTTTCAAACCAAATAAAGAAAGAAACTAATAGTTTTTCCAATTCAGCATTTTCTTCTCTTATATATATAATATATAAAAACCTTACCTTATATAAACGACCAACAAATAGAACATTCATAATTAAATGGTTTACCATTTAATAGTACGTTAAATTTGTGACGATTCAAACTCATAATTCATAAAGATTAGAAGTGTGCATATCAATTACATGAAGGTTAACTACGTTTAGCCATAAATAACAAATATCAAAATCAAAATTTATTGATATTTGCCCGAGAAAAGGTTTTTGGATTTTTCTGATAAAGTGTACATATAAACATATAATTAATTATACAAACTCCAAATATTTCTTTAGTCCAACCAAAATACAACTATCTAAGGTGTTTCTTAAGAAAATAACACAAAATATGAGATGAGTGATGACACTAAAATATTCAATAAAAAATAATAATGATATCAAATAAAATAAATATTGCAAAGTTATAATGACAATGATCATAATTTAAAAGTACTAAATCATGCTAAAATAAGTATAATAAGTATTAGTTACGATTAAACATTAAAGAAAAATTAAAATTCGATTATGTATTTTAAATGTCTAAACCAATGAAACTAAAGAACAAATATTCAACATTATTGTCATTCTTAGTGTGGAATTAATTTATTTTGTTAGCATTGTATTAATTTGATTTAGAATTGAGCTTTATTAGAATTACTAATATCTATGGACTATAACTTTTATTGGACCATTCAAAATTTTAAGTTTAAGAAAACTTGAAAAAAATATGTTAAAAGATAAAAATTATGAAAACGTATAAGTAATATTTAGAAATTACATCAAAGTAAATATTTTTATGTTTAATAAATTTTAAAAATTATATATATAATGTCGGGTTGGTTTGGTCTTGGATTGACTTTTTTTAGTTAAAATCAAACCAACCCAAGTATAGTTGAGTTTTTTTTTCAATACCAAACCAGGTCAAACCAAACCATTAGTCAAGTTTTTTTTTTCAATTTGATTCGATTTGCGGTTTGATTCGATTTTCGATTTTATTTTGTACACCCCTAACTGTCACACTAAGTATTGACACTCACGTTTATACACACTCTTAGTAACAACAAAAGTTCTAATAACTATAATAAAAAGGCATTAATGAGTAATTATTACTGATAGAAAGACATGAAAAATGTGAAGTGGTGAGCTCACATGAAGTGTATGAGATAATATTATAAGTGTATCCATGCCTATTTGTTATAAAAACCCCAAATTAGAAGAAAATGTTCAATTCTCAAAATTATGACAACATCTCAAACTTTTCCTCCCAAATATTTAAAAGAGGATAGCCTAAGTGAAGAGTGTAAGAAATTGCTCTCTATCCTACCAAAAGAAAAAGGATGGATTGGATCATATATCTATAATTACCAAGGTTTTTGGATATCACCAAGATTGCTTCAAGGTGTGATTGCGTGTCAACAACAATTTCAAGCTCAAGATAGTGATATCTTTCTTGTTACAAATCCGAAATCAGGAACTATTTGGTTAAAATCACTTTTATTCGCTTTGGTGAATCGAATGAAACATCCTATGTTTGAACAAAATCACCCTTTACTTAACAAGAACCCTCATGATCTTGTTCCATTCTTGGAACTTACACTCTATGTTGATGGACAAGTCCCTGATTTCTCATCCTTCACCACACCTAGACTCTTGTCAACTCATTTGCCCTTTGCTTCATTACCAAAATCTGCCCAAGATTCAGAAACCAAACTTGTTTACTTATGTAGGAATCCTAAGGACACTTTCATTTCTATGTGGCATTTTTCAAACAACTTAAGACTTCATCACAAAGATACCAATTCGATTGAAGAAATGTTTGATCTTTATTGTAAGGGGATGAGCGTTTATGGTCCATTTTGGGATCACGTGTTAGATTATTGGAAACAAAGCATAGAAAATCCTAACAAAGTACTTTTCTTGATGTATGAAGAAATTAAAGAACAACCTAAAATGCATCTTAAGCGCTTAGCTGAATTCTTGGAATGTCCATTTTCTATAAAGGAAGAAAATTGTGGAGTTGTAGATGAAATATTGAGAATGTGTAGCTTTAAAAATTTGAGCAATTTGGAGGTGAATACAACTGGGAAGTTGTCAACTGGAGAGGAAAATAAAGTGTTCTTTCGTAGAGGAGAAATTGGAGATTGGAAAAATTATTTTACTACAGAGATGAGTGAGAAATTCAATTATATCATTGAACAAAAATTTCAAGGATCTGGACTGAAATTTTCATACAATTGATTAGGGGTTATTTGTTTTGAAAATCAATGTTGGAGTATGTGTGTTTGGAATCGATGTAACAAGAACATATATATATCACAAAAGTTCTAATGTAGTAATATAATGGTACTGATTTATATATTCATGACTCAAATTATTACAAATTATGTATAAAATTCATATTACTTTATTTTCTTATGGACAAAAAGGGCACAACACACTCTCTTTGTATATATATATATATGTATACACTCATGTTTAGAGAGAGTACAGATTAGAGGACGACTTGTAACGATCCGTTCAATAATCGTTTTGACACTTATTGCATGTTTCAAGGCATCCAGATGTGTATCAGAAAAGAAAACAAAAAACTAAATGTTAGGTTTAAAAAAAATGATCAAAAAATAATATTTGAGGTAAATGGACTTGAAATAGAGGTTTGAAAGTTTTTAGAGGTTCGGATAACGATTTAAAACATAGATAGATAGTTTGAACGAGTCTCAAGAAACTCTGGAGCAATTCGAACACTTGTGTAATTAAAAAAAAATCATCACTCATGTTCTTGAAAAGACGAGTGAAATAGATGTTCAAAAAGTTTGTTCAAGTGATATTTAAGCGGATATGTTCACAAGGCATTGTCAACCTCAATATTCAAGAAGAATGCATCATTTCCGAGATATTAAGTGATATTTTAATCAAGAATAGTAAAATATGTGATGGACTATTTTCTCCCGAATCAAGATTTTATTCAATTAAACTTTTGTGATAAAAATTTTAATAAGACAACTAACAATTTTATTACTAAATAGGTGTACTTTTTTTTTTGCTTTGTCTAGTTCCCTTGCTTTGCTTTTCATTTATTAGTTGGGAAAAAGAAGTGTTTTCTAACCTGACCCCACAACAACAACATTGTTAATGTAATGTAACAATACAAGAGCTTTATTTGAGGTTTCTTGTCTAGTTCTTTCTATATATACACTTGTGAATACACCTTCATCATACAAATTAGAAGAAAACATTCAATCTTTAAAATCATGACAACATCTCTTTCCAAATACTTACAAGATCAAGAGGGTCTAAGTGAAGAGTGTAAGAATTTTTTCTCAGACTTACCAAAAGAAAAAAGATGGATGGGATCATATATTTACAACTATCAAGGTTTTTGGGCATCGCCAAGAATAATTCAAGGTGTGATTGCTTGTCAACAACAATTTCAAGCTCAAGATAGTGATATCATCCTTGTTACACCCCCTAAATCAGGAACCACTTGGTTAAAATCACTTTTATTTGTTTTAGTGAATCGAATGAAATATCCTGTTATTGAACAAAATCACCCTTTACTTGTTAAGAACCCTCATGATCTTATTCCATTCTTGGAAATTAGACTCTATGTTGATGGTCTTGTCCCTAATTTTGCATCCTTCACTTCACCTAGACTCTTGTCAACTCATATGCCCTTTGCTTCATTGCCAAAATCTGTCCAAGATTCAGAAACCAAACTTGCTTACTAGTGTAGAAATCCTAAGGACACTTTTATTTCTCTGTGGCATTTTACAAACAATTTAAGACTTCATCACATTGATATCCATTCCATTGAAGAAATATTTGAATCTTTTTGTAAGGGGGTGAGCCCTTATGGTCCGTTTTGGAATCACGTATTGGATTATTGGACACAAAGTATAGAAAAGCCTATTAAAGTACTTTTCTTAGTGTATGAAGAAATTAAAGTGCAACCTAAACTTCAGTTTAAACTCTTGGCAGAATTTTTGGAAAGTCCATTTTCCATAGAGGAAGAAAATTGTGGAGTGATGGATGAAATATTAAGAATGTGTAGCTTTGAGAATTTGAGCAAAAGTTTCAAGGATCTAGAATAAAGTTTTCATACATCTGATTAGGCATTAAGATTCTATATGTCAATTGAATGCAATTATTTGTTTTGAAAGTCAATGTTGAATTGAAGCAGTTGTATTTGAGAATAATATTGTAATAAGAACATACTACATGAGTTTTATTGTAGTACTGATACAATTATGTTCACGACTTAAATTGTTGAAAAAATATGTTTAAAATCATATATGTTTATTTGGTCGCAAACGGTGCTTTTTATTGTACGATTGTTTACCTTTTCGATTTGAGAGTGTCTAGTATTCGTATTAAAGTCGATTAATTTTGGTTAGAGTTGTGTAGAGCTTTATTCGAGAGAAAGCACTTTCTATCAAATCATTATATATATATTTTTTACTATGCTTATGTTTGTCCATACAATTTTTTCCACTTCTATTCAACAAAGAAATTTCAAAACTCCCATTTAATTATATATCAGATTGATTTTTTGAAGTTTTTATTTTATTTTTTGAAGATGAATTTCAAGTTTGAAAAAGTAGCTCTTGCTAATTTTTCTTCTTTATAAAATAAGGTATAATAAATTAAATAACTTATTGGTATTTCTCCTTCCATTTCCTTTTTTATTCTTTTTTTCAAATGATTGCAAAAGGCATATCTTGAAGGATTAGTGAAACAATAATGCATTTTAACAAATTACTAATTGACCCTAAATAAATTAAGCTAATTATGAGTACAAATCATCTTATATCAAACATCAACCAACTATATCAGCATCTACCTAGTTTTTACACTATTTTATTTCCCCCGCCCCTACCCCCCACCCCACACACCCATATATATATATATATATATATATATATATATATATATATATATATATATATATATTGCATTTAATTATTATTTTTATGGGTAGTTAATTTATTAGTTGGAGTTGTAAAATTTAAAATGGATATATATTTATTTATAGGAAAAATTACTGAAATACACGTCTTATGTTTTCCTTATTTCCAATAGCCCCTTCTATTTCTAAAAACCTCTAAAATCTCTTATTTCTTTAATGTATCCGAGCCAGTATTTAATGTATCCAAGCTACATAATATGTATCAAAGCTAGTTTTTAATGCATCTGAGCTACATATTATGTATCTGGTTTATGTTATAATATATTTGAGATACTTTTTAATGTATCCGAACTACATATTATGTATTCGGTTTGTGTTACTTTTTAAGGGATTAATGTAATTACAAACTAATGAGGGATAGATAGTAATTTCATATTAAAACTATGAGATTTATGTAAGTCTTATTTATATATATGAACAAGTTAACGCTTGAATGCTAAATGGTGGTTGCAAACACCCTTTTTTATCCGAGCGATTCAAAATCGAACACAAACCGATAATTCAAATAAAAAAAAGTTATTGGTTTAAACGTTTTATTTTTTGTATTATTGGATTATCGATTTTTAATGATTTGAGATTTTTTTTCTTAATGGGTTAATCGATAATCTAATAGTAAATTAAAAAAATTATATTTATAGGATTCAGTATATAAAATTCTTGACTTTAAATTTAGATTCATATTTTTATTTCTGACAATCACAAACTTTCGATTATTCTCCGATGTATTAGTGTTGTTTTTGAGCAAGATGCCATCTTAATCCTTACTCCAACCTAATAAAGTTTGAGAGACTATATTTATATCTGAAATGATAAGAATCATAGTCAGACAAGCCCTAGGATTGGACTCAAGCTAGCTCAATTATTGCTATCGTATGGTTGGTGATTTAGCTCTCTCTCTCTCTATAAATTCAACTATTGCTATGACACGGCTGGTGATTTAGCTCTATATATATTCAACTATTGCTATCACACGGCTGGTGATTTAACTCTATATATATTCAACTATTGCTATCACATGGCTGGTGATTTAGCTCTATATATATATAAAATACTAGATATTAGATGTTCGTGCGGACGTAATATATGTTAATTTTTAATCTCAATTTATGTGATACTTATGAAATTGGAGAGTCAACTAATTTTTTTGTATGTTTTTTCAAAAATATTTTAAGTTGTTAATTTGTTATGATTTGTAATTTTTTTTTACGTCGTTTTCGAATAATTTATGTTACTCCTTTTGTTCCAACTTATATTAGACCTACGGAATTAGGAGAGTCCACCAAATTTCTTATATGTTCTTTTAAGTATTTTCAGTTGTTAATTATAGTATTGTTTACGTAACTTTCAATAATATATATTGTTCCATCTATTTAAATTCATGTGTCACCGATAGAATTTTAAAAGTCAACTAAATTTTTTCTATTTTTTTTTAAAAATATGTTAAGTTGTTAATTAATGTGATTTATAATACTTTAACGTCATTTTAGTTATAATAGAATATTTTAAATTGTTAATTATTGTGATTTATAGAATTTTTAAACATATCTCGTATGTTTAAGAGTAGTGTTTTGTATCCTCTTATTAGATACTATAAATATTTTAAGTTGTTAATTATTGTAATTATAGCGTATGTTACGTAATTTTCAAATTTACAATAATATATTTTAAGTTTTGTTACTTATAAATATTTATAGTATCTTCAACGTAATCTTTGAATATACGATTAATTAGAAAAGAAAGTAAGACTCTTATTAGATAGTATAAATATTTAAGTGTTTAATTATTGTAATTTATAGTGTATGTTACGTAATTTTCAAATTTATAATAAAATATTTTAAGTTGTTAATTATAATAATTTATAGTATCTTCAATTTAATCTTTGAATATACGATTAATTTAATAAAAGTAAGACAAATAAATTAAAATAAAGAGGACAACAACAAAATTTGAACAAATTTAAGTAGGTAACATTTTTGTAATATACAATTTATAAATTGAGTAATTAACATTTGTGAGGCAAGAAATAAAAGAAAGGAATGGAATTGTCAAATGGAATTAACATTTTCGGCTCAGGCAAGTTAAAAAAAAATATATAAACGATTTTTTATGTCAAATGATAAAGAATGTACAACCATAAAGAAGCTGGGTATAATAATACAGAAAATACCCATATTGCCCCTGGCTATGGAAGCAGACATATTGACGAACAACTGCTTCCCTAGTCTCTTATATATAGTAGTAATATATATGAGTAAATCTTCAACCTACAAAC